AAAATATTCTCAAACATTATTATTAGAATATCCATTATTGGTTGTGTATTGAGCATACTAAACAAAGAAAAAATATGATATTACGAAAGGTGTATATGTTGTAGTTACCATTGATAAATAAAACTCCATGCGATATACATGTTTGGGACACCATCACCATAACAACACTTAGCAACTTAGTATAAATTACTATGGCAATGGTTTGTCCTGAAGTAACTGAATATTATATATATATAATTGCTACTGACATCATACTAAACTGACGCATTATAAACTGACGCATATATAATTTCAGTATTTTTTCAACAATGAAATATGTCAGTTAAACCCTAAGATGGTATTTTAGCTGCATATTCAAATTGAAATATAGCTACACACTCGAATGGGAATATACTGAAATATAGCATGCTTAAATTGAAAATCCTGATCCCGATTCCTCAATTTGTCTTATTTGAAATATCATGGACAAGTTAAGATGATATGATCTGTGATTGTTCTGAAATTATGAGTTTTGAAATTGTACATTTATCAATCGGAGGAATAATTTATAAAATATGGAATAATGAGAGACATTTAGCTGTAGTTGAACAATACAGGATGACTGTTTGCAAAACCATTTTAACCACTAAAGTGACACAAATACCCCTACCCCACCTACCATGTACATGTCACATGGGACAGACCCCTTACAAAATTTAAACTCAATTATATTTTTGTACACTCACAAATTCCAATGCTCATAAATTGATAATAAATATTTTGATAACATTACACAAGAATACAGTCATATCACTCTGGAGCATTCAAAAATCTCAAATGAATACTTAAAATCATAACTGACAATAACCAAAAGAAGTTTGGTTATGCAAGGGCCGATTTTATTAAAAATAATATATACCGCCATTGAACCAAATAAACCCCTGTCACTCCTAGGCAACCAAAGTGTCCACAAAACCACAGATAATTTCAGAAAACCACCAATAATTTCAAATCCATTATCATCCAAAAAGGAACCGGGTAAGAAAAACCCATAGGTATTTATGAGTAAAATTCACAGTTGGTGACACATGAAGGTTAAATGTGTCACCACATCATGACAACACTAAGGGAGATACCATACTGGAGCCTATATAGAATCCCAATGTGAATGCTCAAACACATTTTATTTCCCGTTTCTTGACACTGGGCCATTGAGGATTTTTTATGTTAATACCTTGCCAAGGATTCTCATTTGTCAGTATTACTTCCATGCAGTTATTTGCATACAGAGATTATAAAAAATTGGTAATTTGAGAGCAAAAGTGAACTGAAAATGGATATAGTGAAAACAGTGTAATCTGACTGACAAAATAGTGGAGAAAGCTGAAAAATAAATAAACCTAATTGTCTAGTTCAAGGTCAGCTTCGGGATAAAGGATTCTTAAGGTTAATCTCATTCATATATATAACAATAGATTCCAGACCTCTCCTCATACTGAAATCCATAATTCCAGAATCTTATTTTTTTCTGTTTTGCAATAATTACCTGTTCAGATAATTATCTAATCAGGGTGTAAAGCATAAGATATGTTGTCATTGTATTGAATAACCACACAATAAAAAGTTTTTTTGTATAAAATACATAAAATATCCTCAATGGCAATAATAACATAACACATGGGAAAAATTGGAGCCATAAATCTACATCCTAACATGCTGTGTACAAGCAAAGCTGCACATGGTAATAATAGTATATTGGCACATTTATATTGTTTCTTTATACCTGAAGTATAAAAATACAATACAGTAAAACCAGTCTTAGTGAACACCTCTCTCTAGTGAACACCTGTCCCTAGTGGACACCCTTCCTACACACATAGTCCACTGACTTCTGCATAAATTACCCTCTCTCTAGTGAACACCTACTGTACCTACAGTGGAAGTTTTTTTCTTGGCAAAAAAATGTTCATTATACACAAGTTTTTCTGTATATACTGCAGCATAGTAACTGTACAGTATGTATATTGAAACTATTAATGCAACATTTGATCTAAAAAAATTATGTGAAATTATAATATACAATATTACTACAGTCATGTAGTGACAACTTTTACAGTAAAAATTGATTTTTACAAATTCAATACATTATATGACAATGTATCGGAAAATGTTAAAATAAATAATGTCATCCATGGCTGATTTTTTTATCATATCACAAATTAGTCTAAATGTGTTCGCTAGTAATTTATCGCTCCGGTGAATTGCAAAAAAACTGTAACAATGGAACATTCTCTCTGCACAAACAATTCAAAAACTCTGTACTGATCTGCCAATAAACTATACCGCAGATCGGCATAATATTGGAAAAAATTTGCAAAATGTTATCGGAAATTTCCTTATTAATATATCAATGGAGAGCTTGCTTCTGGCCAAGCAATCGACATTAAAGTTTAATGATATTACCTACTGCAGCCCACATGTCAGATTACAAGCCTGCAATCTGTGCGCAACTTCAGAACAATCAAGCAAAACGCATAGGCACATGATAAGATGGCCACCCAAAGGCAAAATATCAAATGATATACATGTATTTTGAATTGAAAACACAGTGATAAAGAGTGGAATTAGAGAGGAATAAAATATA